TACAGTGTGCTTTTCTTATCAGCACATATCTGTACATACCTCTTCAGGAAAAAATGTCTTACATTAGGCTGCCCTTGTTCATATGTGATTCAGAAACTAGGGCAGGGAGAGATAGGCTAAACAAAAAGAGACTGGAGCATGTGCTCAAGCAAAAGATTTCGTGGTTGCTCTACTTTAGGGGCCTAGGCTTCAGAGCTCTGAGATGAGTCAGCTCCTTGAACAGTATGTACTGGTCCATTAGTTAAATACTGACACTATCATTCTCAGGAAAACCTCTTCAGCAAGTCGAATGCCCTGTTATGTAGCAGCCCTGATTAACATCTACTTCCCAAGTAGTATTCATTAGGATGATTAATTTTTTAACTTAATGAACACATCAACTATCACAGAAATAGCTTTATCATTAAAGGGAACATTTTTATCATTAGCCAGAGAAAGGCAAAATTCCCAACCACCTCACATCTGATTTTTTTTTGTCTTTCCATTCTCAAAGGCATCTATTTCAAACCTTCCCCATTGTCCTCAAAACTCTGCCCTACCTCATTTAAAAAAATTATTTCTACTCTTAATTCATTAAGAAAATAGCAGCCATATGACAGAAATTCTTCAAATGCCTCCCCACAATCCCCTCCTGTCTACTCTAGCCCCATCTTGACTGGATCTATGCCAAACTCCAATCTATTGATCTACATTTCTATATACCTTGAACAGTGATATTCTGACTATGGCCCTCTTTCCTAACCTCTGTGGAGCTAGCCCCTTACTTATCCCCACTCTTTCTTGTGGTTTCAACATCTAATATCTTCCCCCATATTCTTTCCCATAGTTTTTTTTTTCTTTTCTTTTTTCTTTTTAGTATCAGGGATTGAACTCAGGGGCACTCAACCACTGAGCCCCATCCCCAGCCCTATTTTATATTTTATTTAGAGACAGGGTCTCACTCAGTTGCTTAACACCTTGCTTTTGCTAAGGCTGGTTTTGAACTCATGATCCTCCTGCATCAGCCTCCTGAGCTTCTGGGATTACATGCATGCACCACTGTACCCAGCCCACAGGTTTTTGTTGTTATTGTTGTTGTTATTTTTGTTTTTGTTTTGGTACTGGGGATTGAACCCAGGAGTGCTTTACCACTGAGCTACATTCCCAGCTCTTTTTTTTTAATTTTTACATAGGATCTCACTAACTTGTGGAGTGTCTTGCTAAATTGCTGAAGCTGGTCTCGAATTTGTGACCCTCCTGCTTCAGCCTCTCAAATTGCTGGGTTTACTGGAGTGAGCAACTGCACCCAGCTCCCATCCCTTTTTATTTTTATTTTGAGACAAGGTCTTGCTAAGCTTCTCAGTCTAGTCTTGAACTTGCCATCCTCCTGCTTCAGCCTCCAGAGTACCTGGGATTATAGATGTACACCACTCTACCAAGCTCCCATGTATTTTTAACTGAGCTGGTTTTTTCCATTTTACAAAATGTCCTCCTTGGGTTCTTATAGTGAACTGAATGTTCATGTTCCTCCAAAATTCACATGTTGAAATCCTAATCCCCAAAGTGATGAGATTAGGAGGCAGGCTTTTGGGAGGTGATTAGGTCAGGAGGGAACTCTTATGACTGGGATTACTTGTATAGGACTTATTGTATGGGCTCTAAATCTTTGTCTTCCATAATAAAAATGCTATCAATAAATTAAAATATCAAGAAATAAGGCTGGGAGCTGGGTGTAGTGGTATATACCTGTAATCCCAGGGACTCAGGAAGCAGAGATGAGAGGATTGCAAGTTCAACGCCAGACTCAGCAACTCAGTCTCAAAATAAAAATAAAAAGGGGCTGGGGATGTAGCTCAGTGGTAGAGCACCCCAGGGTTCAGTCCATAGTACCACCAAAATAATAATAATAAATAAATAAATAAATAGATAAATAAATAAATAAATAAATAAATTTTGGAGTGTAACAATTTAAAACAAAATCCCTATTACTATAAGTAGAAAGCACACAGTACTATGTCAGCTTAGGCTTTTGGCCTTCTTTTGCTCTAATAGGAAAACTGAACAAAATAAGAATTGAAATGTAGTAAAAGCTATAATTCAGATTACAGATAGGAATTCATGTTGAATGCTTTTCCTTAAGAGTGTTTTATTGTTTAAGCCACATTAAATAAATTTATAGTCTACTTATGAAATGACACAAAGTTGTTTCAAATCTGCTGTTAAGAGAAAGAAAGACAGGCCTTAGTCCATTCACAATGGTCTCATCTTCTTCAAACCTCTTCCAGTCTCCACCCATTATCAGTTCTAAAGCTGCTTCCATGTTTTTATGTATTTGTGATAATAATACCTCACTTCTTGGTCATAATTTCTGTCTTATTTCAGGCTTCTATAACAAATTATCATAGATTGGGTGACATATAAAACAACAGAAATCTATCTCTCACAATTTGGAAACTGAAAGATCAAGATAAGGGTGCCACTATGGTTGGGTTCTGACAAAAGTCCTCTTCTGGATGCAGATTGCTGGCTTATCCTTATGTCCTCATCCTGTGAAAAGGAGGAGCTAGTTTTCTGGTCTCTTTTTATAAGGGCACTAATCACACTCATGAGGGCTCCACTTTCATGACACAATTGTCTCTCAAAGAGTCCACCTCCTACTACTGTCACATTGGGATTAGATTGCAACATGAATTTTTGGAAGGCAGAAATATTTAGTCCATAGAAGGCTATAAAGTGCTTCCTGAAATAGTGCTTCAGTTTCTAGAACTAGCCCATTTCCACCCACCTTCTCAACAATAATGCTTCAGTTTTCTTGTTTTTAATTATTAAAAAAAATTAGTTGTCAGTGGACTTTTAATTATACGTGGTGCAAAAAATCAAACCCAGTGCCTCACACATACTAGGCAAGTGCTCTACCACTGAGCTACACCTTCAGCCCCTTGTTTTGTGCTGCAGTCTGTCTGGGCACAAAATAACAGAGCTACCACACAGCCTTGTAGATTCCAACAGCAACTCTTTATTCCCGAACTCTCACTGGCACTCTACACGCACGTTCTGGGAAAATACACTCCCTCCACCGGGCTCTGCGTGTCAATTCTCTCAGAACCCGCGAGAACTCAACGGGAACTCCAAAGGGGGGGGGGGCTGAGGCAGCAGGATATGCCCTATTCCCAGCAGGATCCACCCTAAACCTGGAGCCACCCTATTCCCAGTAGGATCCACCCTAAACCAGGAGCCACCCTAATCTCTGAGCAGGGTCACCTTTCAACCCAAAATGCCATGTGTCATTCCTACTTGGCTATGGCTCTCAGCAGTTTTGAATTTGATAGAGTATTTGACATGAAGGCAAATAAGTGATTAAAAGTCATTTGATAAAATTTGTCTACAGAAACTAATGTTTCCCCATAGCGAAATGATGTCAGATGATGATGCAAAATGATAGTGATGTCATAAACCCTAGAACAGGGTGAACCACATAAAATACCATAGTAACCTTGGCAGAAGAAACATTTGAGCAGAGCCCTGGACATGAATTTTTTAATTTATGTCCTATTTTTATCCATTTGGACAATTAATTGTTTAAATACAAGCGAAAGTGATGGATCTTCTACCATAGGTATGTGCCTAACCTTAAAATTCATAAATTATGATCTATTATATTATTCATTTAAACACTTAATTACAAAAGCTAGCCACATTTAGGAAATCTGCTGTTACTTTGATGTTACTATTAGTAGGTCTTCAATAATTTATAGCACAACAGTTGATATTTTTATTTATTTATTTTTAATATTTTATTTTTTTTAGTTTTTAGGTGGACACAATATCTTTATTTTTTTTATTTTTATGTGGCGTTGACGATCGAACCCAGCGCCCCACACATGCCAGGCGAGCATGCTACTGCTTGAGCCACATCCCAGCCAGATATTTTTATTTCTGTATGTAAAATCCAAGCAAACTATAAGCACAAAGAGTACAGATTTACCGGGCATGGTGACTCACACCTGTAATCCCAGAGGCTCAGGAGACTGAGTCACGAGGATCACAAGTTCAAAGCCAGCCTCAGCAACAGCAAGGCCCTAAGCAACTAAGTGAGACCCTGTCTCTAAATAAAATACAAAATAGGATGGGGATGTGGGTCAGTGGTTGAGTACCCTGAGTTCAATCCCTAGTACCAAAAAAAAAAAAAAAAGAATACAGATTTCTGATCCCTCTTCATTCCCCTTTCTCAGTCAATGCCCCAACCACACTAGATAATACTATGTGGATGACTCTGGCATAAGAGTTTAAAAAAAAAAAAAAAAGTAGGGTTTTTTTTTGTTTTGTTTTTGTTTTTTGTTTTTTTAGACAGGTCTCATTATATTGCCCTGAGTGTTGTCAAGTTGCTGGGCTCAAGTGATCCTTGTGTCCCCTCCCCTTTCCCAACACACATATTTATACACATTAACACTCAAAGGCATGCACACCCTCAAAAACCTAAGTACTATAATGAGCAAGCCACAGTACAGGGGTAACCCAGGTAATTGTATGGATTAGCTAGACATGCCTCTCAGATTTGACTTCTAGACTGTGGCTGAGGCAGTCAGGAATGGTGGTACATGCCTGTAATCCCAGCAGCTCGGGAGGCTGAGGCAGGAGGATCACAAGTTAAAAGTCAACCTTAGCAACTTAGCGAGGCCCAGAGCAACTTAGTGAGACCCTGTCTCTAAATAAAATATAAAAAGGGCTGGGGATGTGGTTCAGTAGTTAAGTGTCTCTGAGTTCAGTTTCTGGTGTGTGTGTGTGTGTGGGTGTGTGTGTGTGTGTATTATATGTGTATATATGTGTGTATATTATATACACACATATATACTGTAGTTGGAGATGTATTCCAGCCAATAAAGTTACAGTGGAACCTTTATTAGTTTTTAAAACATCATTGATGAAGAGATTTGATCTTGACCTATAGTACCAAGCCACTGTTAAAGTGGAAGGAAACTTGGTTATCTAACACATTCTCTGATGATACCATGTCTTTGCAGGAGCTAAGCAACTTGAATCAATGGAATCAAAAATTGACAATTTTAGGAGACATCTACTCATCATTATAATTGGTGTTATGATCATAGCCTTCGTCTTTACCTGTTTTTGTTTTCTGTATTATAACTGCATGAATGAAGATGCCCATGAAGCTGGAATGTAAGTTTGATGCATTTATTTATTTATTTATTTATTTAACAGTGCTTGGGATGGAATCCAGGGCCTTGCACATGCTAGGCAAGTGCTCTACAACTGAGCTACACCCAAGTGTAGTTTTATATCTTTAAATTAAGAATGCAAATACATATATATATATATACATATAACAGAGATTTCGTTGTTGTCCAGGTTACTTAATATTACCTCTAGATCTCTAAAGAACTACCAACTTCTTGTTGGTGGGATACTTTCACTTAAATTATATCAGCTCTTAAATATTCTCAAATACATTATTAATCTTGGCCAAAGCTGTCTCCCACTCAGGGTTCAACTGAACCCCCAGGCTATTACTTTCATTATAAATTAAGAAGAAGAAAAGAGAACATGAGAATCTGAGTAAAATCAGAGAGGGAAAATCAAGAGAGAGAGAGGCAGGGAGTTGGATCTCTGTTTTCCAAAGGCAATTAAACATTTGGATGCTCTATCATTTTAAGATTTAATAGCATAAAATATTACTCAAAATTGTTACTCTCATGACCTCAGTCCCTGCCTTTCATATAGGAGGGTTAGGCTGGCCATGATATACTAGTTCCCTATAAATTTCCTAGTCTGAGGACTGGTGACTAAAATGTGGTCCTGGTACTCTAGTTCCTTAATTATAGAGGATATTATGAATATAAACATGTATAGATAACTGGATGTTGTGAATATGATAGGAAAAAAAATGACTTTGGTTTAAGGAACTGTTTTTCTTATGTTATCAGTTTGTGACTTTTTTCTTCTGGGGGTGGGTATTGAGGAGTGAACCCAGGGCCTTGTGCATACTAGGGAAGGGCTATACCACTGAGCCACATCCACAGCTAACTTTCATTTTTTCTGTTTTTGGTACTAGGGATTGAATCCAGGGATGCTCTGCCACTGAATTACTTCCTCAGCCCTTTTTATTTTTCATTTTGAGATAGGGTCTCACTAAGTTGATGAGCCTGGCCTCAAACTTGCAATCCTCCTGTCTCAGCCTCCAAACAACTGGGATTACAAGTGTGCACCACCATGCTTGACTAGTTTGTGACATTTTAAATAAAACATTTAGTTTCTGGAATAAGGAATTTCTATCCCTCTTAATAGTAGATTTGAAACAACTTTGTGTCATTCCACATATAAACTATAAGATTATCTAATGTGGTTGAAACAGTAAAATAAATAAAATGTATTTATTTCATGGTGCTGGGGATTGAACTCAGGGCCCTGTGCATATAAACAGTAAAGTGTTCTTCAGGAAAAGCATTCAACATGAATTCCTATCCATAACCTGAATTATACTTTTTAACCACACTCTTTGTTCAATTCTTACTTTGTTCAATTTTTTCTACTAGAGAGAAAAAATCCAAAGTGTAAGTTGACATAGTTCTTTGTTTTCTGATAGTAGTGGTAGGATTTTTTGTTTGTTTGAAATTGTTATACTCTAAAATTTCTACATTTCAGGGACAAGGACGAATGTATTGAAGACAAGTCAGCTTGGCCATCCAGAACATCATTCAGTGAATCCAGGACAGAAAATTTGTGCAGTCTAGAAAAACATTCCATGTTATCCAGTATAGAAAAGTTATCTGGGCCCTCAAGTCCAGAAAAGTCATCCATACCGTCCAGTGCAGAAAAGTTAGTCAGATCTTCGGAGGCAAAAAAAGTTATGTAGACCACACAGTAAGCAAAAGTTAATCAGGTCATCAACTCATGAAAAGTCATTCTTACCATTCTGTGTAGGACTGTTATTCAGACAATCCAGTCGGAGTCGACAAAAGTCACGTAAGCCAGCAAGTCCCCAAAGATATCTCAGGTCATCTCACTTGGAAAAGTCATGTAAGACATATAGCCTAGAAAAGTCATATAAGCTAGCCCATGCCCACAAGATAGTCAGCCGAGTCAGCACTTCCTATCCAGATAAGCCAGTCAGGCTGCCTTGGCCAGCTAGTCTACAGTCTTCAGCCAGACCAGTCAAGTCACACTTTCTGTCTCATCCACAAAACCAAATCTTGTTATCCAAGCCATTAAGGCTAAGAAAATCAGTCAAGGCACCCAGACATCGTCATCTTAAAAGGTCAATAAGTATAGGCAAGACAGTCTTGGTAGCCAAGCCTCTATTAGCCAAGACTTGTCAATGTTACAGGGAAAAATGCCTTGTTTGCAAAGCTACTTCTGAGACTTTGGTCCATATTTCTGAGTCAAAGAAGGAAAATGCTGGAAATCTTTTCAGTTCAAGTAATATGAAGAGTTTTACCAGGTCCTTTCAGAAGGTAGATTCCAAGGATGATGTATACGGTGATAATGTGACAGACAGTGATATAATGACTTACGACAGTGATGACAGTGAGAGGGAGATAATCATTATTTGCAACATAAGGAGCAATCATATTGTCCCTTATGGCACTTCAAAAATATAAGGGCTCAGTAAAAATAAAATCCAACCATGAAGGAGCAAACTTATAGCACCTATTTTATGCTTACCATCACTTTTCTACTAATAGAAAATCCACTTGTGATCACTGTTAATATCGTACCTATCCATCCTGAAGGCAATTTGTTTGAAAAGCAGAAATTAAATGCTTGACATACGTAACAATTATTATTGTGTTTATCTGCCGCAGTCTGGCTGGGCACAATCAGGAGCCACTTGTCAAAAGAAACTAACTTTATTTTTAGAACCACACACGCCAAACAAAACAGCCTCTCAGGAAAAACCCTCAGAGCCTCAACTGCCACCACCGGCTTTCCACAAGCCTCTCTCTCCCTCACAAGCTTCTCTCCACCTCCCACAATCCTCCTGCTCTTGAGGCCGATTGGCTGGGTCACGTGGGCGGAGCCAAAAAAGTCCCCCAATGAGCAGCTCCGTGGTCTGAAAGGGCAGGGAAACAGCCCAATGAGCATCACCGCAGAGGAGCCAATCAGCTAGATGTTGCTGGGGCCGCTGTGAGCCAATCATCAGCCGGCAGCTGGAAGTTTGCTGGCAGCTGGAAGTTTGCTGGGGCCCCTTCGGCTGTGGCTCTCAACATTTATCATTGTATTTTTGAGGCATGAGGCACTTCAGATGTTGTCACTTGAATGGAAATCATAAATACATGTGCACACCCAAACCTAGAAATGAATTAAAAGATGGAATCTTCCTTCCCTTGGATTAGCTCTCAATTGAAATCTCAATCTAATGAAATTCATTTATTTGTTTGTCTATTCTTGTGATGCTGGGGATCAAACCCAGGACCTCACACATACTAGGGAAGCACTCTACCATTGAGCTACACCCTCAACCCCTGAAGTTTATTTTTAAATTCTTTTGTGGTGCTAGAGATTGAACCCAGGGCTTTGCACAAGATAGGCAAATATTCTACCACTGAGCTACACCCCCAGTTCTCTTTTGAAATATTTATTTACAATCTTCATATTTTAATATTCTCTTTTTCTGTAGTGCTCTGTGCTGAGTTGGAAATAGCTCTGTACTATGGACTGAATGTTTATGTTCCCCCCAAATTCATGTGGTTGAAATGTAATCCCATATCTGATGGTATTAGGAGATGGGGCCCTTGGGAGGTAATTAGATCACGAAGGTAGGAGCCCTATTGAATGGGATTACTGCTGAATAATTCACCATTTCTACTATGTGAGATACAGCAAAAGGATTCCATCTATCAACAATACAGCCAGCCCTCACCAGACCCTTAATTAATTGGTGCCTTAATCTTGGACTTCCCAGACTCCAGAAGTGTGAGAAATAGAGTTTTGTTGTTTATAAGCCATTCCATTTGTGGTATTTGTTATGCAGCCTGAGTGGACTAAGACACTCTGCATATTTGGTACTGGCTATGTTGGGAAAATTTCTGATGATTATTTCTAACACCACTGCCTCCATAGACTGCTACCTAAAGTGAGGGTTCAGCCTGCAGCATCTATATCTGAAGCTCCATATTAGTCTAAGTGTTTTAATCTTAGATACTCTCAACAACTCTGCTCATTCTTTTTGTTACCCTTCAAAATGGTTAAAGAGTTGCCCTTGTGTGTGTGCATTCTCAAAAGGTCACAGTTGGAGGTCCACTCATTTACCCATTTTTCCTATGTGGTACCTCCCCACTCTAAATCAGCAGGAAAGAGAGATAAGTGGAAAACCTTGGAGTCATATAGTTTAACTTCCCCATTAATGAAACATTATACTTCTTCCAAGGGCATAGTTGAGAAAAGCAGGCAAAGTCATGCATGCATTCCCAGTCTATGTTCTAGCTGTGTATACTTTGCTCCATATAACATCTAACAAATGTAAGTTAAATGTCAGTAGCTAACATATACTAAATGTATCATTTATCTTTTTTTAGTCTCTTCTTTTAATTTTTTTAAATTTTAATTTGTTATATATAACAGAAGAATGCATCACAATTCATATTACACATATAGAACACAATTTTTCATATCTCTAGTTGTACACAAAGTAGAGTCACACCATTCATGTCTTCATACATGTACTTACAGTAATGATGTCCATCTCATTCCATCATCTTTCCTACCCCCGTGCCCCCTCCCTTCTCCTCCCTCTCCTTTTCTCCTTTACTGTATCTAGAGTTCATCTAATCCTCCCATGCCCCCCACCATCACATTATGAATCAGCAGTCTTTAATCAGAGAAAACATTCAGCATTTGATGTTTTGGGATTGGCTAACTTCACTTAGCATTATATTCTCTAACTCTATCCATTTACCTGCAAATGTCATGATTCTATTCTCTTTTAATGCATTCTGCTGTCATGTATTTAAAAAATAAAAGCAATTAAAAATATACACAATAGAATATTAAATTATTCTCTTTATGACTCAGAGGTCCTGAAGTTACCCTGAAGTTTGCAGATTCACCAAAAGGACTCACAGAACTCAATACCAGGCTATATTTATGGATAAGTTTTATTAGAACAAAAGTATATAAATCAAGAGTATCAGGAAAAAAGATTTGTATCAGGAGGAAACCAGAAGTTGGGCACAGGTTTTTGATCATTTCCCCATCTGGGGCCACACAGGACATGCTTTCTCTTTAGCAGTAAACTATGTGGACGTGTGCAGAATGTCTCTTCCCAGAGAAAACTGTTCAAGTTTTTGGGTCTGAGGCTTTTATTGAAAGCCAGTCAGACACATAGAGACATCATGCTATATGACAGTTATAACAATTGAAACTTAGAATCCCAATGATGAAACCAGAAACACATCAAGTATGCTAATATATGTGCAAAACAATTCTGAGAGACTGAAATGGCATGGTCCATTGCTCCAGGTATACAAGATATAATCATCAACCAGGAACATAAGAATATTCTGAGGGCGACATTCCCAGGGGTTGGCCAAAGGTCAATCATGCTTCTTGATTTCCTTGAAGACATGCAAGGACTGAACAACAAGATCAACTTAACAAACACTGTCTTCACACTCCATACGTGCTATTTAAAAAAAAAAAACTCAACAGTGTCCCATTACATGGGGTATCATATATGCAAACTCTGACATATATCAAGAGCTCATCTAGTGCTGTGCACGATGACACATGCCTGTAATCTCAGTGGCTGGGGAGATTGAAGCAGGAGGATCATGAGTTCAAAGCCAACCTCAGCAATGATGAGGGACTAAGCAACTCAGTGAGACCTGTCTCTAAATAAAATACAAAATAGGGCTGGGATGTGGCTCCTCCGTGGTTGACTGCCCTTGAGTTCAATCCCTGGTGGTGATGGGGAGATCACATGTAGTAATTGATTGAACTGAGATTTGAATCTATGGTGGTTTTATGCTCACTTATGCTATACTGCCTTCTCACTACCAGCTATTAGCATGGTGATTATTTACAGATCACCCAATCCACTCCTATGATTAAAACCCCTACCTGAGTATAAATTAGTCTGAGCCATTCTCCCACTCTGCTGGGGGTATATAAAGATGTCTTATGCTCATTCATATCCTACCTCTCCATGGCTTCTGTCTTTTTATAGATAGTTCCCCCAGGTGTGTGCCTACAAGGTAATCATAACATTTATAGATGGCACAATGTTGTTGCTTATGCATAAAAGTATTGATAGTACATTCATTTAGAAAAAAAAAAAGCATTGTGGTCCAGGCATGGCAGTACACAGCTGTAATCCAGCTACTCAGAAGGTTCAGGCAGGAGGATGACAAACATGAGACCAGCCTAGGCAACTTAATGAGACCTTGTCTCAAAAAATAAATTGTTAGGTCAGGAGGCTTCCCTTTCGGTCCCCTTTCATGGTGGCTGTGGGTGGGGACTTTCCACCTAGCTGAGGAGACCCGAAATGGCCAATCAGAAGCAGACATGGCAAGGGACCCCCCCCACCACTGCCCCATCCCAACCCCCGAATCCCCCAACCCCCTCAGCCCCCCCACCCCCACCCCCACCCACAGAAGCAATTACCCTGTCAATTCAATAGCCCTGACCAAACTGGGACAAACATGATCCCCCTAAACTCAGCTCAGCCAACCTGCTGTCCGTAGCTGCAATTTATTTTTAATTTTTTTTCTTTTTTCATATTCTCTTTCTTGATTCTTATTTTTTTATTTTTATTTTTTTATTAGTTACTCATGACAATACAATGATCTTGACATATCACATTTGACTCAAATGGGGTATAATTTCTCATTTTTCCAAGTGTACAGGTTGCAGAATCACTAGGCCCTCCTACCTCCAGCTTCCCTTATTAGCATTGTTCTTGCCTTTTCCGCCTACAACTTCCCGGGCCCTTACCCTTTCACGGGACCAGTGAACCTCACTGGAAGTGCCCCCCAATAAACCTCCTTTTGGTACCTCATTCTTGTTCCATGATCTCATGCACCCCTTTCTGCTTTACATAAATAAATAAAAATAAAAAGGGCTGGAGATGCAGCTCTGTGGCAGAGCACTTGCATAGCATGTGCAAGCTCCTGGGTTCAACTTCCCCACATCCCCCCATATAAAAAGCATCGTGGGAGCTGTAGACTTGAATTTCTTACTGGTATTAGCTATTTTAAAAATACAAACTGAAAAGGAATAAATTACAAATTATTTTGAATTAGAAAAGCCTGATCTTTTAAAAATACACAAATAGAAGCAAAAGTTATAATGAAATTTTAAATTATCATGAAATAATTTAAAATATATGCAAAAGTAGGGCAAGTAACATACTGAACTACCATATAATTGTTACTCAGATTAAACAATTATCATGACATAGCCAATCTTTTTTCAATTAGACTTTATCTATTATCCATTTGTATCTCTAAAAGATAACTTTTAAAAATGTACAAACACAAAACCATTATTCCATCTAGAAAATAATAATACCTTATGTTTTAATGAGCTTTTGTATCACTGTGACTAAAAGACTTGACAGGAAGAAAAGCTTATTTTGGTTCATGGTCTCTTTAGTCTTTGACCAGCTGATTCCATAGCTTTGGGCCCAAGGTAAGGCAGAACATCATGGCAGAAGGGCATGGCTGCAGAAAGCAGCCCTGACATGGTAATCAGAAGCAGAAAGAGCCCACTCACCAGGGACAAAATATTACCCCAAAGGCATGTTCACAGTGACCTACCTCCACCAGCAAATCCTACCTGCCTACAGTTACTGCCCAATTAATCTGTATCAATGGATTAATCCATTGATTGGGTCACAACTCTCATCATCTAATCATATTATCTCTGAAAATTCTTGCATTGTCTTATACTTAAGCTTTTGAGGAAAATCTCATATCTAAACCATAACATCCTGCTTCTGGCTCTCAAAAGCTCATACCAACTTCACAATGCAAAATACATTTAGTCACTGGGCATGGTGGTGCATGCCTGTAATCCCAGTGGCTTGGGAGGCTGAGACAGGAGGATTGTGAGTTCAAAACTAGCCTCAGCAACTTAGGCCCTAAGCAACTCAATAAGACCCTGTCTCTAAATAAAATATGAAAAAAGGGGGCTGAGTATGTGACTCAGTGGTTAAGTGCCCCTGGGTTTAATCCCTGGTACTGAAAAAAAAATAGTCCATTTCCAAGAGTCCCAATAGCCTAAACAGTTCCAGCATTGCCCAAAAATCCAAGTCAAAAATCTCTTTTGAGATTCAAGGCATACTTTTTGCTCTTTTCCCTTGCAAAAATCAAAAGCAAGTTACATATATTCAATACATATTGGTATAGACAACATTTCCATTCCACAAGGGGAAAATAAGGGCATAGAAACAACAGATGAGACCAAAGCAAGACTGATATCCAGCTAGG